GGGGGGGGGGCCAAGTCGCGGTAAAGTGTTTCTGTGTATGTAACAATGTAGCGTAGTTGTTTGATTTTTTGGGGGGGGCCAAGTCGTGGTAACGTGTTTCTGTGTATGTAACAATGTAGCGTAGTTGTTTGACAAGCAGCACTGGCAAGTGTCCATGTGCGCGGAGGACGATGTCGGTCCCGTGGACATAGAAGGATCTGATGTGGAGAACGATCTCGAGCACGAAGATGCGATAGAGCGCATGGATTGCGCCGAACATCCTGTGAGCCGAGAAGCTTTGAAAGAAGTACTCTTTCGTGAGAAAGACTGGAAGCGTTGCCTGGCGGGACGCGACAACCGCACGAAGTTTGCTCTGAGCAGATTGAAGCAAGTGGTTGAGGCCATGGGTGGCTTGCCCAATGTGACTGTCAACGTTGAAGGCGAGCGTCCTCTGGATGGTGCTCTTCGTCGCGCATGGGCCTATGCTGAAGCACAAGACATGTTTGACCGGCAATCCCAGTACCTGGAGAATCTGTCTGGAGGCCTTCTGCGTCAGATAGACAGTATTTTTGTTGAGAGCTTCTGCACTGTGCGACACGAGCTTGAGAGATATAATTTTGTTCTGTGAATTCGGTGTCGTTAGTCTCGCGCGTGAGAGTCGGAGAAAATATTTTGTCTTGTTATCACGATAGCGCCCGGAGACGGAGGATATAGTTGGACTCAGCATTTTTTTTCGCAGCTACTCGTCGTTTAGTTTTTTACAGACATTGATCCATACGCCAGGTGTTCCAGATGATGCTGAGGAGGAGTTTGTCCCGAGTGGCCTGGAAGCGATGACTGCGACGGATCCGTTCTTGATGGATCTGAACGCGCAGAATCTGCGACCGAGGGACTATGCCTTGAAGCTGGTGGAGGACCAATGCTGGTGGAAAATCATGGGGTGGATCGAACGACTGGTGTCCTTAAGTAGATGTTTCTGGGAGAGTTTATTGCATAGAGGTTTCTTGTTCAATGGGACCAGATTCTAATGGGACCGTGTGAAAGTTCTGAGAAAGTCGCAAGTGTTCCGAACACGCGACAGGAGTGCACGCTCAACGCACAGCAGATTCGCGCTGTGGCTCCCATTGTTTGCGCGATCGATGAAATGTGGGAGAAGCGCACCGAAGCAAGCACCTGCTTCGCCAATGGCCAGCCCAGTGAGCGGTGCAACTGTCTATGGCTTGGTGCGGGGGGCTCGGGCAAAACGTGGGCATACACCAAAGTCTTGCGACCTTTGTTCCAGCGCTTCTTTGGCTTTGGTCGCTACACTGCCGGGGCACCGACCCACGCGGCCGCGCGGTTGTTGGGGGCAGAAGCTAGAACTCTGCGCAAACTGGCGAACATTTCCCCCAACTCCGCACTACACCGCGGCGCCATCCGAGGGCAGCGGAACAAAAATGATGCCCTGGAGCAACAGATTCTGGCGTCATTGGCCTGCATCGTCGATGAGCTGTCGATGAGCGCAGCGGATGTATATCATGCTCTTGGCCTGCGCTTCTCGGTGAAGCGCTGTGAGAACTGGGCGCTGGACCTGAGCCGCTATCTGCAGGAGTGGTTCGGCGAGATGCCGATAGGGCTACAATTGGGCGACTTCCTACAGTTGCGCCCTGCCGCCCAAGCGAGCCTCTGCGAATGGGTGGAAGTTCCGTCAGCGGTAGAACCAGCGCCGCTGACGGAACTTCAAGAAGCCGAAGCCCCAGAGCAGGCCAGCAACGCAGCCGAGCTGGGGCGGCTCTTGTTCAAGAACTCCATGGGCATTGTGGTGCACTTCACTGGAACTGGGCGTTTCTCTTCTTGTGCTTCCGGCCAAGCTTTGGTGGCCATTTTGCAGCACATGCGGCAAGGCACCGCCATGACGGACGCACTCTGGGCGCAACTCCAGAGTCGCGTCTACGAGGTCCAGCAACTGCAAGACCTCCAGACCGCACCTTCGCGCCGGGCGTTCTTGCGGGCCTACTGGGGTGCACTTGCCTGGGAGCAGGTTGCTCGGTTGCAACAGTTGCGAGCAGTGCTCGAGGCGGAAGACGCTGGAGAACGGCTGTACTTCGTGCAAGCCATCGACAAGCCCACCGGCGACGCCACGCTGTCTTCCGCCCAGGTCAGCGCAGCTCTGCAGTGTTTGAACATGACCAAGACTGGCTATTTGATTGGCATGTGTCCGTTGTTTCTTGGGATGGAAGTGCGCATTTCGTGCATCTTGCCGGAGCCCTTGCTGACGCGCGAGCTCCCGTGCATAGTGCGACGCATAGAACTACATCCCAAAGAACCTCCGACGCCACCTGGAGCAGCTTGCGTGGTCCTGCAGTACCAGCCGCTTGGAGTCTTGGTGGAGGTCGCAGACAGTGATTATGGTCAGTTTCAGGTCCCTGGCGACGACGTACCCAAGGGTCATTTCTACGTGAGGCCTGCGTTCAACAAGCAATCGGCCTGGGTCTTTGAGGTTGCGCCCAAGCAGAAACTTCGACTTGTTCGGAAACAGGCTTGGGACGCACTAACTTGTTTTGGGCTCTCTGGTATACATCGTATCGTCGTCGTGTCGGTCTGTCTTTCTCGTTTAGTTTCCTTTATGCGCAGGTACCCTTGGCCCCACAGCGAGTGCTGACTCATTTTGGACTGCAAGGCATCACTGCCAGATCTGGCCTGGTCGCTTTTCTGAATCAACCTCCCTGGATGAAGGATGGAGATTACGGTTTGGCCCTCTATGTCATGTTGTCGCGAGCAACGAAGTTGAGCGATTTATGGCTCATTGGAGTGCCTGAGCGCCCATATTTCAAAGGCTTCTTGCATGAGCGCAACAAGACTTTGGTGGATCGTATGAGCCTGTTTGAACGTCTGTCTGTGCAGAATGAGCAAGCTGCGGAAAAGTACATCCAGAAGCTGCTTTGGAGGGGAAATGCTTACGTGAACCGCACACTTGGTGTTTCTGGAACAGGACAAGCCAAGAGGCGGAGGCTGACAGGCAAGACAGCTGTGGCCTGAGTCTACGTGGTCTGTTGCAAGTGGATACGAAGATCCGATGCAATCACCTCGGAGAAAGTGGACGTAGCTTTGCTTAGCAGACGTTTCAGCAAGGTCGGGGTTCCCAACGAGAACAGATAAGCTGTAGATCTTTTTTTGATAGTGTTTTGATAGTGGTGCTGGGACGTGCTCTGGTTTTGGGTCGCGGGTCGCGTGGCCTGCGGCTGCAGGTCCGACACCATTGCTTTTGGCTCCGGGCACGAACGTGCGTCAACGGAACACTGAGACAACGCCTCAGTATTTGGTTCTGTAGAATAGTTCGTTTTCGATCTTGCTCGATGTCCGATGCAGCAGTGACCTCTCAGGGGATGGACGTTATTCTGCGGAATGACTGCGGGGGGTAGATGCAACGCCGCAGGGAGGTCGGGGACCCCAAAGAGAACAGACAAGCTTAAGGTCTTAGACATCGTGAAAGCATCTTGTCGCAATAGTCATCTTAGTACTCTGGTTCTATGTGATAGTTGCCTAGAATCTCTAACTGTAGTTCTTTGTCGTGGTTTGCTTTGCATTTTGCGCCAGGTCCGACGCCAGTGCCTCTGACTGAGGCAATGAGCGTGGTTGTGTGGAAGATAGTCACAACGCCTCAGGGAGGGCGGGGATTCCCAAGGAGCATACAAAAGCTTGAGATCTTTGATCTTCTGAAATGTTCTGTTGATAATAGTGATGGGCAGTACTCTGGTTCTGTCGTATAGGTTGTTCTTTGATCTTGCGAAAGTTTCTGTTGACAATAGTGATGGGAAGTCCTCTGATTCTGTTGTATATTTTTGATCTTCTGAAATGTTCTGTTGACAATAGTGATGGGCAGTACTCTGGTTCTGTCGTATAGGTTGTTGTTTAGATCTTAGATCTTGTGAAAGTTTCTGTTGACAATAGTGATGGGAAGTCCTGAGT